AGAGGTCCATCAGTGGCTATTAGCCACAAGGTATAGATAGGGGCTCTGGGGCAAATGATGCTCTGTCTTCTTGGTGCTTGGGGGAGGTCAACAGTGGGAGGGCTTCTAATGCCCTGGCCCCACTGGTGGGCCTCCTGGTGGCACCTGGTATTTCTGGCCACTGTGTGACACAGTGTTGGACTGGATGGGCCTTTGGCCTGATCCAACATTGGCGTATCTTATGTTCTTATGTTCTTAAGTCGCTTCCTAATATGGTTTTATATTTGGAGCTGCCAGACTTCCTGTATTCCAAGTTGGCTGCATTACTTGTATGCATATTCTTGGTTTCCTTTTGTCCCAAATAAATTTGTCAAACAAAGTTTGAATTTTTTGAACTGTGGAATTACCAACCTTTAATGGTAATGTAATCAATACAAAGAGCATTTTTGGCAGGATTTTCATTTTAATTACCTGATCCATCCTAGCCAGGATAGTTTATAATTAGACCAATTGTGCAAATCAATTTCTGCCTTTCTTAATAAAAGGACTTGGATTTTGTTGAATATTTTTTTCTACATCATTAGCAAAAAAGCACACCCAAATATCATATATAACTCTTCTTCCAAAGGCACCAGTAATCTCTGTGATGTTTTGTTTATTCCCATTGGATGTATCTGTCTTCATTAATACTGACTTTGAATTATTTATTTTATATCCAGAGATGTTACCAAATTCCTTTAATAATTCTACCATTTCCACAACAGATTCTTTAATAATTTGTCATCTGCATATTATAGTAATTTAGTGATATTATCCTGGTATTCAGTACCTTTAATATAGACCTGTTGATGTATGCCTAATGCTAGGACTTCAGCTGATAGATTGGATAGTAACAGCAAAACAGAACAGCCCTACCTAACTCCTCTCCCTAATGGAAAATAAGCAGAACAGGTTCTGTTCATTGCTATTTTTGCCCGTGGTAAGTAATAAACTAGATTTATCCAACTGCAAGATCTGTCTCCAAAATTGAATGAGTACTGTACTACTTTAAGAAATGTCCAACCTAGTCTGTCAAATGCTTATTCTGTATAGTCAAAATAAAATACAGAGGGCCCTCCTTGAACCTGGGCTAAACTAGTTGAATTAATCAACCTCCTGGTATTCCACAACATTAATTTTCCCTTTATAAATCTTGTCTGATCAATACCTATATAATTTGAGACAATGTTTGTCATGCCTGGGGTCGTCCCCTTCTCTCCGAGAGGTCTTTACCCTCCGAGGCTTGCTGAGGCTTTGGCGCGGGTCGTGCCAGTCCCACCGCCACGGGCTCTGCTGCGGCCCCTTTGGGACAATGTCATTTAATCTCTTTGCTAAGATTGCTGTGAAGATCTTGTAATCCGTATTTAAAATGAAATAGGTCTGTAAAATGAAGGTTCTTGCAAATCTTTCTCCTCCTTTGGTATCAGTACAATATTTGCAGCAGCTCAGGTATCTGGTATACTTCTAAAGTCCTGGATGTTATTAAATAATTTCACCAACTATGGAGCCAAAATTAGGGCTGAGTATGAACAAGGGAAATGGAGGTTCATCCTGGTTCATGGTTCGTGATGTCCCATGAACTGGGACGAACCTCCCCTGCTTCATGAACTGGTTCAGTTCATGGGGTTTGTGGATCTTCCCTTCCTCCTTTCTGCTGGCAGCGGCTCCCCGAGGTCAGCAAAATGGAAGGGGGGGGGAGATCTTGCAAAAGCCACTTAAAGGGAACATTCCCTTTAAATAGCTTTTGCAAGCTATTTCAGCAATCCCTGTTGCTCCCCCCACTTCCAAGACTGGGGGGTGGGGAGGGATCACTGAAATGGCCATGCAAAAATATGTAATAAATATATAAACACATGTAATTATAAAGGTTGTAAGTGTGCTTTATCCCAAATATAATAGTAAGTATAAATAAGGTACAAGACATATACAACTACATATAAATGAAGTATTTTATTTATTTATTTATTTATTTATTATTACATTTCTACCCCACCCTCCCTGCAAGCGGGTTCAGGGCAGCTTACAATAGGGCACCATGTGCCAAAGCATAAAACAACAGAAAAACAGGATAAAACAATCAACATTAAAGTGCTCAGTGGTTACAATCAAAATTTAACAAGATGGAATCAAATTACTCGACCCCATCCAGCGAAGTCATGGTTGATCTTCATGGGGCCACCCCTCAGGTCTACCAATGGTGGTAATGGTAGTAGTAATGGTGGTTCCTACCCGAAAGCCTGGCGGAAGAGCTCCGTCTTACAGGCCCTGTGGAACTGTAAAAGGTCCCGCAGGGCCCTGATCTCTCTGGGAGCTTGTAGGAGCCGCCACTGAAAAGGACCTGGCCCTTGTTGCAGTAAGCCTGGCCTCCCTGGGGCCTGGGGTCACCAGGCGATGTTGTGTCCCCGACCAAAGTGCTCTTTGGGGCATATATGAGGAAAGGCATGTCGGACCCTGGCTATATAGGGCTTTAAAGGTAAGCACCAGCACTTTGAAGTGAATCCGGTATGCTATAGGCAGCCAGTGCAGCGCTTTCAGCACAGGTCGGATGTGCTCCCACCTAGGGACACCCACCAACAGCCTGGATGCAGCCTCCGGATTTGCAACAAAGGCAGCCCCATGTAGAGAGCGTTACAGTAGTCTAACCTCGAGGTGACCATTGCATGGATCACTGTAGCCAGGTCATCACGGTCGAGGAAAGAAACCAACTGCCGAATCAGCCGAAGGTGGTAAAAGGCTGATTTTGCAGTGGCTGCCACCTGGGCCTCCATAGTTAAGGCAGGATCCAGGAGCACTCCCAAACTCCTAACCTCTGACACTGGCACCAAAGGTGCCCCATCAAACGTCAGAAGCGGGAGCCCCAACCCCAAACCGAACCGACCCAAGCACAGGACTTCCGTCTTCACCAGATTTAGTTTCAACCGGCTCAACCTGAGCCACCCAGCCACGGCTTTCAAGGCCCGGTGGAGATCTTCTGGGGCAGAGTCCGACTGGCCGCCCAACATCACATATAGCTGGGTGTCATCCACATATTGATGACACCCAAGCCCATGCCTTCAGACAATCTGGGCGAGGGGGCACATGTAGATGTTAAACAACATCGAGGAAAGCACCACCCCCTGAGGCACATCGCATTCGAGCGGGTGCCTCCAGGACTGCTGTTCCCCTAGCACCACCCTCTTTCCCCGATCTTGGAGAAAAGAGGCAAGCCATTGAATGACGAGCCCCTGTATCCCCGCATCGGCGAGGCGGTGGGTCAGCAACTGGTGGTCGACTGTATCGAATGCGACCAACAGATCTAACAACAGCAGATCCGCCACACCGCCCGATCCAGATGCCTCTGGAGGTCGTCAGTCTCCGTCCCATGCTCCGGGCGGAAGCCGGACTGAAATGGATCAGGGACGGAAGCTTCATCAAGAAAACTCTGAGGCTGAGTCCACACTGAGTCAACACTGCCCTCTCGATCAATTTGCCCAAATAGGACAAATTGGACACCGGCCGATAGCTGGGCAATTCAGCCGGGTCCGAAGTTGGTTTTTTCAAGAGAGGGCGGACTATTGCTTCCTTGAGTGCCTCAGGAAACCGCCCCTCTGAGAGGGACTTGTTGACAATCAAGTATTCATATAAATCAAAAGTCAAAATTCAGTCTCTAAGATATCCATTCCAGACGCCTGAAAAATCTGACATAGGGAAACTTTCCAAAGAATTAGAACTAGACCGCTGAGTTGTGGGAGTATGTCAGTGCTGAAGAATTGAAATCTGGAGGCAGTTGTGTTCCATCATTAATGTATCTTATTACCTGTGAAAATGGATTCCTTTTGTAGAAAGATCATCAGTTTTGAAGTAAAGGATTGTTAGCTCTTGAGAAAGAGAGTTTCAAAACAGCTTTTATTGATAGCTTGTGGGGTGTGGATCCTTACTTGCTACAAGCTTTATCACCCTAAAGAAGTCAGGAGGAAGCAAGTTTTCTTACACAGGATAATTCTTTGGAAAGTTGTCCTATGTCAGATTTTTCAAGTGTCTGGAGTGGATATCCTAGAGGTATTTTCCCGTATTTCCATGATGTTTTGTGCTTTCATGCCAATAAAGGTTTTTTGTGTGTGTGTGATATCCTAGAGACTAAATTTTTACTTTTTTTTAATATGTAGTTCCATATGCATTGTATCTTATTTATTTATAAAGAGATATTATTTCTACCTTCTTCTTTTCAACCAAATCCTTATTTTGGAGCAATAAATTATTCATCCTCCACTCTCTTTTTAAAATGCCATTTTTGAATTTTAAACTCAAGAATTAGAGGTGAGATCTGCATAAACTGTTGTACCAATTGAGATGCTCTTGATACTCTTGAATATGACTGAATTGACAAAAATGTAGTCTGTTATAGAATATGAGTTATGTCTATGGGAATAAAAATTAAACTCTTCTTAAGTGAGTACTTATATCTAAAAGGATCTAGCATTTCCATATCATCTAATCAATTTTTGAAGTTCGTTGGTATCTGAGTAGTGGAAGCCTGAGGATGAGTCAAGGTTATTTTCCAGAATCCTGTTCATATCACCCGATGTTATCAACTTTCCTTCTACCCATTTTGTAATACTATGAATAAGATGTATCAAAAGCACAATGGGCAGTGTTTAAGGAAATGGAGTTTAACTGGAGACATTTGGCATATGAGCTAAAGGAAGGAGGAAGACAGGAGATGATATAAGAAAATGATGAGGGATTTCTAAATTAAAATGTCTTAGTCGGACTCGACTGTGTGACTGAACAACAAGAAGAAGAAGAACAACAACAACCCCCCCCTCCAAGATATCAAAGATGTTTTGGAGGGAAGCTACAGTATCTGCATATCCCCCTTTGACCAATAGAGGGCCACAGTACACCATCTTTCACTACATGGCTAGTTAACATGTTTCTCTGTGTTTTTTTTTGGTTCCCCCCCCCCCCCCCCCGGTTTTTTGTCCCCCCCCCCCCCCCCAGGATCCGTTCACAGCCTTCCATCTGGACAAGACTCTAGTAAGAAAGTTTATGAAACCCTTGTTAATTGGAGAACTTGCAGAGGATCAGCCCAGCTTTGAGCCCAGCAAAAATGTGAGTCTTCCCTCCATTCAAAACAGGAAGGGCTTAAAATGTAGAGTCGGTATAGCCAAGAAAAAAGAGAACAACACAATTGCAGAGAACATTTTATGCAAAATACTGGACTCCGGGAACTAGTGAACAGTTCACTAAAAGATGGGAGAGTTAACGTTAAGGACAGTTTAGGAAAGCCAACAAATCATGCCCCCCTTTATTAAATTTTGTGGGAAGAGGAAATGGGCAAGGGAAGCAGTAGGGCAGGGCAGCCAATCCCATAGCAAAGAAGTGTCCAGTGTGATTTCTTAATTTTGAATAATATTTGTAGATTAAAAAAAAAAAAAGCACTAGAGAAAGATGTTTGTGCTGGAGAGGAACAGCAGAAGCAGTATCTTGGCTGCAATGATCAACCGGGGTTTGCACTTATCACTTTTGAAGAGCCGTGTCCCACATATAAAAACTGGCGTGCCAAAGGGAGAAGGATAGGCTAGACTCTTTTCCCCTGCCACCTGCAGGTGACTGCAGAGCAGTGGTACTCCATGGACAGTAATGGGCTTAGACTGGGGTAACTCTGCATTTAGGAGTGCATTGTTGCTTTTGTATAAGGAAGAAATTTATTTTCCCCATGGAGGAGCAATCAATCACATGAGCCCTCTATGACACCAGTATAGCTCAGACAGTTCCTTCTTATTGAATTTTAACTGCCACCAGCACTTTGTAATGTATTATTTTTAACCGTTATGTTTTAATTCGCATTATGTATGTTTTTATCATGTATTTATGTTATGGAGGCCCCCCGCCCCCGGCCCGTCTTCAGGTACAAGCTCTCCCTCCTCTGTGAGGGCAGATCTGCGCATCCCCCTCCCCCATAGCTAACAATCCAAAACAGTCCAGTGGCACCTTTAAGACCAAGTTTTATTCAGGTACAAGCTCTCCCTCCTCTGTGAGGACAGATCTGCACGTTCCCCCCCCCCCGATAGCTAGCAATCCAGAACAGTCCAGTGGAGCCTGAGCGGTGGGTGTTGCCTTCTGACACACTTCCGGTAATGTCAGGGGGTGTGGCATATGCAAATAAGTTATGCTAATGAGCCCCTACACCTCTTTTTCTACAAAATGACCCCTGGCTGAGAACATACACATAGCTAACACTGCAGTGACATTCGAAAGACCTTTTTGGTGGAGCCATATATCTGTTATTTGTGAATGGTAAGTATAACAAAATTCTTGACAATAGGTTCCATTTGGTTTCCACTTTATTTCATAGGTTAGCCGCATTTGGGGAAATTATGATTTTTCTATAAAGCTCAAGAGTGATAGAGGGAGAGAAACTGAATCAACTCGAGTTCCTAAAAGGTTTCCCTTCAAGGCAGAGGAAGTTACAATCTTGTGTTCCCCACAGAAACGGCTCGTAGAGGATTTCCGTCAGCTCCGTGCTACTGTTGAGAAGATGGGACTCCTGAACCCCAACCGCCTCTTTTTCTTCCTGTACCTCATTCACATCTTGCTGCTGGATGTGGCTGCTTGGCTCAACCTGTGGTACTTCGGGCCATCCTTGCTGCCTTTTCTCGTCTCCGGATTGCTGCTTGGCACTGTCCAGGTAATCTACTGGATCTCACAGAACGTGGCAACAAGGGGTGCTATCACTGCCGGGCTGGATCTGTGCTATTAAATTAGGAATGCTCTGTATTGGGGTTATAGGTCACTCTTTTCCCTGCTCTCTCCTCTCTGCTGTATCTCTGCCTGTTACTTTTGCTCTTTCAGATGTGCTGCCTCCAGCTATCAAAAATTTCCTGAGATCCGAAACAGTTCTGTCCATTCTCTTTCCCCTCCTCTTATGCTAGGAGTTCCCTTCAAATATCCCCACTTTCTGTGTGTAGCTTTTGGATTAACATCTCGGTCCATACCCTGGAATCTGTATATGGGTGACTGCAGCTGTTTCTGTTCATTCCATTTCCCTGGCCTCTCCCATTGCCAGGATTTAGATCAACACTCCTTGGGGTAACTCCTTGGCCCAGGCTGGCTAACCCAATCTCGTCAGATCTCGGAAGCTAAGCAAGGTCAGCGCCTTGGCTAGTATTTGGATGGGCGACCTCCAAGGAATACCAGGGCCGTGATGCAGAGGCAGGCAGTGGCAAACCACACCTCTGAAATGTCTCTTGCTTTAAAAACAAGTCTAGCTCACCACCTAGTGATGCATAATGCTAAAGGAACTAGAACTTCTGGCTGCCAGATAATCTTAGGATCTCCTGGCTATACTATACACACAGCCATATGGTAATTAATTAATTAATTTCCTTGGGGCAGGGAGCTGTCCTGTGTGGCATGACGTTGGTGACTTTGTATTAGTAATAATAAGAATAAACAACAGTAATGACTCTGTATTTCAGGCCCAAGCTGGTTGGCTGCAGCATGATTTGGGCCACCTTTCAGTCTTTGGCAAGTCCAAATGGAACCACTGGGTCCACAAATTTGTGATTGGACATCTGAAAGTGAGTATCAGTGTAAAGATTGCCCCTTGGCATTTCCCCAGGGCTAAAAAACAGCTGGGATGCTTAGGCTGAGACATCACTGTGTATAGTCCAGGATTTCCAATTAGATCTTCTCATCTTTTACTGTCTGCAGGGAGCACCAGCCAGCTGGTGGAATCATTGGCATTTCCAGCACCATGCTAAGCCTAACTGCTTCCGCAAGGACCCGGATCTCAATATGCATCCTATGCTTTTTGCATTGGGGAAGAAACTCTCTGTGGAGGTGAGCCTTGTAGAACTTTGGATAATCCTATAAGGATTTACATTGGACTGGAGACTGTGTGTCGTTAGTATCAAGAGAAAAGATTGTTATGTAGATCTCTTGCTCAAATTGAGATGGTGGGCATATAGAGAGAAGGACAGCAAGATATTTATAGGTGTTCCACATCCAAGAAGAAGAATTTCTGTTAGAAGAGTTATGTGCTTGTCCTGGCATTATATTGTCTTGGCAGACAGGTGAATTTGGAGGACTTAACAGATTTATGACCTGATTCAAAATGTGCTTACTCAAAAGGTCTGCTGGATGGATTTACTTTTTAGTATATGTTTGAAAGATCTGTAATAGCTTAAATAATGACAACCCCCCCCCCCCAGTAAAACAGCAACCAAACTGTCAGCTGTCCGAAGTGGAACGCGAAGCACATGGCTGTCCTCTGTTGTGTTAGGGTTTCCTCTGCAGAAAGGCTGCTGTGAGACAAAAGGTGAATACAAATAGTTGCTTGTCTTGTTTAAGGTATTTTTTAAAAAAAGTTTTAAGTTGTAGCTGTCATGGAAGAGAAAGGCTGTTAACATTCAGATCACGGGACTGTCGCCTCCGTCTCTGGTGTTCTGTCTTAAATGGCTCATTATGTATTCTTTCCATTCACTCTCCACCTATTAAAAAAACACCAAAGTATTTTTTTTAAAAAACAACATTGGGTTCTTTCAGTGAGTTGATTAGTTCGACATGAAAGTGGGCCTGTGGAGTGGTTCACGGTAGCTTCTCTCAGCCTCTGTCGCTTTGATTACCTTGGGCAGGGGAATGGCCCTTGGAAAGATTTCAAAAGACTGGCTTTGGTCTGAGGCATTCTTTCCCTCCACTAAACCAGTTTGCTTACCAAGGAAGGAACCTTGGTGGGGAAACCGTGCCAGTTTCTAGCCATGGCCTCTTTTCCTCGTCAGTCTCCAGCTCACTATAAAATAACAGCAACCAGTAGGCCACGCGGGATGCCTCACCTCTGTGGTCTTGCCCCTGTATAAAATCACAGGATGCCTCACTCTCTCACATCGTCTCAAACTGTTTTGTTCGGAGCTCAAACTGTTTTGTTCGGAGCGGTGTGAATTTTGTCGGGCTGGGCTGATCTGAATGAATTCCTCTCTGCCAAATTGCCTCTGGCCCATCCGCGTTACTTTGCCCCGTGCAGTGTACGATACCTTTGCCAGTCCTTACTTCCCTTTCCCTCTCAGCATTCGTCTGAGGGAGGGTGTTAATATTCACACCTGTGATTTCAAGGGCGCAAGAGCTCACGTGGGTTGAGGGAGGGAAATGGGAAGCTTTGCCGAGAGGTGAGGCGGGATCCCATGCATGCACCACCTCATGCTGGTGAGGCGGGATCTCAGCATGAAAGGCTGTGACTGAGAGAACGAGAACTGCTTCAGGTGCATTTGAATGGAAGTCGAAAATGCTTGAAGGGGAGTGGACATGAATTAGAAAAAAGCAGAAGGGCCTGAAGACCAGACGGAGGCTACTGAGTTTGATGGGTAGGCATGTTGGTAAGGTTGCTGAAAGGGTAGGTAGACAGGCGGTGGGGTTTAGGCAGTAGAAATGAACCAGGGCTGATGAAGTGCTGGCAGTATGTGGATGCATGATGTAGGGCCGAAAGAAGTGCTGGCCACAACACTGTGGTTAAACCTGATGAGCCAAAACAAATCCCAGAACCGTGAAAACAATATATAACAATACTATAAAGAATGTATTTAAAGTAATGAAGTGTATGTTTACAAAAAACGAATGTGCTTTATAATTATAATTATACATCTATATTCATATGCCATCCCATTGACTAACATACAGAATGCTTCACATAAGATTAGAAAAGTCCATTCCAACCATTATAATACTGCATGGTCAATCTTTAAATGAAATAGAAATACATGAAGAACTCTTGAAATAAGATTATCCTTCTGCTCGGACTTCCTTGAGGGTCATGAAGTAACGATGAACCAAGGATCATTAAATCCAACAGGCATTCAATATTTGCTGTTTGGAACTCTCTTTTTCAATGTGACCGATAACAACCGGTTTCAAGAACTACACAGACAGAATGCAGATACCTTCACAATTTCCCAGTAGCAGATCAATCACTCCAGCTTAGGTTTGGTGTTATGACAATGATCCTTGGTTCAGCTCACCATTGTGGGTGGGCTGGGGAAGGGAGGAGATGGGAGCAATGCTCCCTCTAAGCCGTGGAGTCTTGTGAGCAGAAATTCTACTTTGTGAGCTACTAGCGTTAAAGTTGTGAGCGAGCGATTTGGCTGCTGCAGAAATTAGTTTGCTCTGGAGCCATCTTTCCTGAGCTAAGACAAAAGTGTGTGAGCCGGAGGCTACGAAACTGTGAGCTAGCTCGCACTGACTCAGCTTAGAGGGAACAGTGGACGGGAGGCATGTTTAAATGCCTCCCCAATCTTTCCAGCCTCCCCCAGCCTGCCTGCTTCAGCGGGCTTCAGATATTTTCTCTCTTCCTCAGCTGGCGTGCAGCCACAGGCCATCTGGAGAAGGGAGGAAAGATCAGGGAGGCATTTAAAC